AAGGTGAATGATTGCGATTCCTCGAGAATAGGTGACAAGCCAATGGCTATGGTGGTGGAAGACTTTGGGAGAAGTATGGGTGTGAAGAGTCTTCCGGATAGGGATGTGGAGGTCGGTATGGCGTTGGGATTACTTTTTTTAGGTGGAGAAGCTTTTGCCTAGAGAGCCTTCGAAGAATTTAAAAGAAGAGAAAGAAAGGGAGGAGAACCGAAAGCCGACCACTTTAGGTGAAGGAGGAGAGAAGAGGCTCTATGGGGAGGAATAGTTAGGCATAAGACAGAGCTTGTTTTGCTTGGGTGGGGGTTTTTCTATTGGCGATGTGGAAGTTTTTTTCTTTTTGTTGTTGGGAGCTATTGTTTCTCTTGGGTGATATCTTATCACCTTCCTCTTGTATTCTCTTTTCTTTTTTTTTTTTAAATGAATTTTGATTTTATTTATGAAAAAAATACATAGGATGGCACGAGGGTCCAACTTACCAGAAGAGAGAGAGGTTTTACACAAAACATTGACACCCAAACACATGAATAGTAATGGAGACCAATGAGGATGAAGGAAAAAGCAATTGATGTGGGGCCTTAAACTGCAACTGTTTGGAAAGCATGCTGTTAATTAGATAGGCCATAGTGAGAACAACATCAACCTGGAAGTGCTTGAAACATTCATTTGTCAGAGCAAGCCATGAGCCACCTCCAGTAAATGTCTATTCTTCCATTCCACAATGCCATTTTCTTGGGTGTGTGAGGGCAGGAACTTTGATGAAACATATCATTTTGCTTGTGATACACATTGACATCTTTAGTGAAATAATCCTTGGCATTTTTGGAGTGCAAAATTTGAATGACAATGTGGAATTGTGTAAACACCATACCATGGAAATCTATCATAAAAAAAAGAACACCATACCATGGAAGTTTATTACAATCTTTGGAACTTCATTCTACTTGCTGATCAAAAAAAAAAAAAAAAACCTTTGGAACTTCATTTCTTGATTGTAGCATATAGATCCAAGTGTAACAGTAATAACCATCAATAAAACTGATGAAATATCTATATCCTCTTGCCAAAATTGAATATAGGACACAAACATCAGGATGCATAATATGGAAAGGGAAATTGGATCTTTTATTAATAGAAAGATATGAATTTTTACAATGTTTACTCAATTGCAAGTAGAACACTTCAATGAGAACAAAGGCATTGACCTAAATAAATCTAGAAGTAAGACCTTTAGGCTATATTTGGTTACAAGGAAAAAGTAGGGAAAGGTAGGGAAACCTTTACAAACCTTGTATAGATTTCCCTACCTTTTCCATCAAACCAAACATAACCTTAAGGAAGCAAAAAATAAATGACCCAAACAACAGTGCCAGAGATTAATCTGGTCTTTATCACAATGACACTTAAGTTGACTCGATTGACTTAACAGAGTTGTGTTTTTGTAAGCATTAGAAAGCATTGAATCGAGGATGTAGAGACCATTAGTCATGTGCCCTCTACCAACTAGGGGTGGATTCGAGCCGAGTCGAGCCGAATAGTACCAGGCTCGAGCTCGGTTCGAGCCAGAACCTTGAGCTCAAGCTCGGCTCGAGTCAAGAGTACATAAGCTCGAGCTCGGCTCGTTTTATATTTTATAAAAATAAAAATTATATATAAAAGTTTTTTTTTTATTTTATATTTAAAAAATTAAGAATTATAATATTTTTATTATATATATATATATCTATCTATCTATCTATATATATATATATATTCAAGTCGGCTCGCGAGCCTCACGAGCCTCACGAGCCGAGCTCTACTAGGCTCGAGCTCGGCTGAAACCGAGCTGAGCCGAGCTTTTCATGAGCCGATCTCGAGCAGCTCGTGAAAATCTCGGCTCGTTGCCACCCCTACTACCAGCCATGCTCCTTGAAGTCAAATTCTGAGACACACGAATCAGAGGAAAAACTTGTTGAACAATTCAATGATTTTGTAATACAACTACTAGAGAGAAGGTTAATGGTTATCAGACAAGCAGAGACCCATGGGTAGAGAGACAACTCCTTGCTTTGGAATAGTGGAAAAAGAACCATAAGCAAGTTTCATCTTATCTCTACTAGGAAGAACTCAAGAAGATATGAAAAGGGAGGACTTACTAGTCATGTGGTTCTTAGTCTTTGGGTCAATGATCTAGGGTTACTAAGAACCGAAGGATGAAAGATAAAGAGCATGGGCTTGGTTATTTGGTGGGTATCCTTCCAGCTCACTTGTATTTGATTCCACTCTACTGTTTCTTTAGCAAGGATGGAGTTGTTTGTCTCCAAGTGACCTCCACGGAGATCATCAGTTTTTTCTACTACCTTGGAACTCCAGAGGTGTAGGGGCAAACCAAAGATTTGAACCCAAAATGCCTCTCTCTTCCTATCTTCACTGTAGAATTGCCAAGTCCCACAGAACAAGATGAAGAAGATCTCCATCAAGATTTCTGCTTCCTAGTATCCAAACTCTTCTTGCTTTTTTGTTGCTTGTGAAAATGAACAGTATTCGAGTTTGGAAGTCTTCATAGTCTCAGTCCACCTTTGACTCCCCATCTCTGCAGTCCCAGTCTGTCATTTCAAGCAGAGATTTGGATGAATTGACCGGCGCTGACTAAGCACACTTCTAGAAATTCTAATCTTCTTCACCTTTCAGATTTGCTGGCAACAGTGTAGCAACCTTCCTTTCCAGCCCTCACTTTTGCCTCGTCCTCCATTGTCCAAATATTCTTTYTGAGACCTTGCAAAAAGGACCCTTTTACCTTTCCTGTACACAGTGCCTCCTTTCTTTAGCGTGCTAACCTGACCAGCACCCCTCTTACATGATCTCTGTATCAGAGCTTGAATCCAGTGAGGGCCCTCCGAATGCTTTTGCTTGTTCCACATCTCAAAGACGAAGACCACACCCTTGTGAGTTTCACCGACAACGGGAAACCGTTCTGGCAAGTGAACCGCCACCATCAGCTCGCTACCATCAGGAGTGACCCACCATCTTCCAAAACCATAGGAAATAGGCCCGGATCTCGTTCAGCTTGTCTAATGTTGCAAGGGCATTGGTTTTCTGTTTGGTTTTGTCGAAAAGCCTGGTAAACATGATTGATCCCCTGCGTTGAAACTCACCACTCTTCACCAATTTCAAATTCTTCAAATTCATCATCATCTTCAAAAAGATCAACTTTGGCATCTTCTGTTGCTACCTTTGTTTCAGTTGCCATAGCAAAATGTTCAAGAGACTGGAAAAATGCGAGCTTGAACAAAACTTCTTTCAGTCATTCATAAAAAAATGATGGGACTTATTGGATAAGAGGTAGGAATTGACTGGTTACAAAGATTGTTTGGATGAGTTTGGTCACAAGATGTTTATTTTTCTGATATGATATGAAATAAATTGCAAAGTTGTCTTTTTCACCTCATATTAGTAGTAATATTAAATGCCAAATAGGTATCCATGTTCTTGTAACATGGTTTGTAAGTTTGTTTAAGTTGTCTATTTTATTTCTATTATTATATAAGGCATTTACATTATGTAGTTAAATGCTTATATTTTATTTTATATTTTGGAGATATTGATGAAATTGGAAAATTGGACCTATGGCGTTGTACCATTGCTATGTTAATTGATTTGCAAGATCCATTTGAATTTGAAGATATTTTGCTATTGTTTAGAGATTCTGGGTTTATTTTTGATATCATTTTGTCAGGTTTTGATCTGTCGAAATGAGGCAGAGAGATGCTTGATAGAAACATCTATTAACTCCCTCCGTATAAGTATCAAGGTGAAACTAAAATACTAAGTTTTTTGATTTCCTTACAGTCCTTGTATGCTAAAAAACATTTGATTTTCTTTATATGGTACTCTATAAACATCTCCAGCTAAACTTTTCAACTTGTATGCCATATGTATTCCTTTGCTTCAGATGTTCATAGAAAAGGCCATGATGATTTTTATCAGTTTATCTTTTCATTTGTTTTAAAAAAATATGATTAAGGTTTTCTGTGCAAATTGATTGATGCTATCATTTTCTTATGATTACGTTATTATTTCCTTTATCATTCAGCAAGTAATAGTAATCATGATCTATGCAGTATATTGAATGAGATAATTTTCTTTATGTTGGCCAACCAAATTGTTTTCTATCACAAATTTCTTTTGCATTAGAAGAGACCATTTTTTAGTGACGGTGTGAGTGGGGAGGCAAAGCAATAGTAAGGATCTACCTGAAAGACAGTAGATGGCTTGAAAAGAGGCAAAAGTTACAGAAAGCTTTGAGGAAGCTTTAATGGAGGTTGTGGGAGGATTGAGGACTCAGTCTAGTAGAGCTTATGCACAAGGATGATCTGGATGCGGGAGGAGAGCTTCGAGCCTCCTATATTTATAGAGAAAACTCCTTAACAGAATAGGAAGTCACATTATTAGAAAGGAAACTTTCCCTAAAGCGGGAAAGTCTATTGTTTAATTAGATCTGAGGTAGAGAAACCACAAATAGGGTTTGCCACATGTCACTGCGGTGATCCCAAGTTCTGGGTTCCCGCCCTTATCCTCAAGATCTGCAGGTGAACACGAGCTCAACTACAACCCTCCTTCTAGAAGCCTCTCATGCCCTAGTCGCTTTTTTGTTGAAGCACTTTATGAATTAAATTGTTGGCGCAGATGTTGTCAATGTGTTTTACTACTACTGCATTGCAGCACCTAGGTAATATGTCGTCGCAATGTAGAGAACTTCCATGATGATGTGTTAAGTCGCAGAACAATGATGCACCTTGAATTAGGCCCACTTATGTTCTGTGTTGAGACAACAGTTTAGTATGTCTTATTGTGGGTGTGCTTATTTGTTGTGATTTAGGGCTTGAACAAGACACTGTAAGGAGTTTCAGGCTACGCCAGTTGTGGCTAGGTGTTCTTTAGTGCAATTCCTTTGTTTTTTAGATGTAGGAGCTTGGGTTTGTGAGTACGATGTGAGTGCGCTGTGGTCGCTTACTTGAATGTCTTTGGTGCTATCTTTGTAGGGTCTAAACCCATGTACTTATATTAGCTACCTGCTTATTGACAAAAGTATTTTGTCTATAAGCAGTGTCAGTTTCTACGCTAATTGAAAAAAAAAAGGTTTGATCGTTTTGTGGTTTACATAGTTCGAGGTAGCCCCCTTGCTGAGTGATAGAAGTATTTCGTTCAATAAGCATGTGTGATGAGTAGTGTTGCGCTGGGTGCTTTTTAATTTGGATTGCATTGCATTGCAACTGTAACGGTTGAGTTTCTGATATTTCAATTGGCCTTCTTTGGCACACGTGGGGGAGAGTAGTTGGAGCTGTAAAGTACTCCTAATTAATGTAAATGGCATGATTAGCTATTACTGCAGCGGTGCATCAGTCGCGCGCTCATTAAATGCTTGACAAGTGGTTTGATTCCCAGGGACCAACGTGCAAATACTAAAACCGACCTGAATAAGTCATTTTGGGATAACACGGGGTTAACCCCATTATGCCATGTGGTGGTGCATGTACCCTATCTCTTTTATTTAAGGCTTGGCAGTTAAGTAACCGTTTGCATTTTCAAAGCATTTTAACTCACTGGTGTGATCAGATCTAGAGCTGTTGAATCAGAGATCATAAGGGGTGCCAATGCACTAAGGTATGGAGTCCGAAGGTTTCTCACCGGTCGGTAAGTGGAGAAAAACTCTGAGAGTGGAAAGGAAAGAGATACTTATGGAGGAGATCTTTACCAAAAGGATTTCATGATAAAGATAAGAAAAGGCAGGAGAGGAACGATTCTGCTAGTGGGCGAAGCTGTGCCTTGGTTTCAAAGTTTTCTGTATGGAGCAGTCCATGTAAGCTGGTGTGAGTCCTGAATTGCTTCATTCAGACAGCCACGGAAAGAGTATGTTGCAGAGAGAAGGAAACATGCCAAAGGCTGGTTTGTAACGTTGGAGGAAAAGTTCGAGAAGAAGAAGAAGCAAACCATCATTATTCCTGAAGGCGACAAGAAGCAGGGATGGACTAAGATGGCTAACATACTACATATGAGACTAGCCAATAAGGAGTCGATGACGGTGAAGACACAGGCAGAGAAGGTAGATGATGGACGCAGCAAGGAGGAAATGATTGAAAGAAGGAAGAAGCTGGAAAAGTTGGGTTTAGAAGTGCCAGCTGAAAGTCAAGATAACCCAACGGTGGCATTCACAATGTCAGAACCAAAAATTTCAATGGTAGGGGAGAAAGGAGCATGGGAGAAGAAAGTAATCCTTTCTACGACGAAAGAGATCAAAGATTGGAAAGGGTTATTAGAGGAGGTGGCGAAGAAACTCAGGCTTCACTGAACTATTATTCTAATACCTTTCAGTGAAAAGAAAGCAGTACTAGATGTGGGAGAGGAAACGGTTGAATTTACCATTTTGGAAACAAAGGAAGGAATCATGAGAATCGAAAGTTGGTGTCCTCTGGCTAATGAGGTGACCTCTGTCGATGGGAGCTTCAAACTGAAACTGTTGGGCCTACCCTTTCATCTATGGCAAAAATCCATCCTGGAGAAGTTAGTTCTGGCAATGGGGGGTGTTCTCTTGTCGTGCAAGACCTTAGACTTGAGGGCAGTCAATCTAAGGGTAGCAGGTTTGAAGCCGGAAGCCGTGCCAAGAACATTCCATTTGTGCGCAGGTTACTGGTGCACGATCTGGGTTCTCTCAGAAGTTGAAGCGTCACAGTGGTATGGGAGGGAGAAGCTCGAAGAAGATGATGATGTGGCGAGGTGGGTCACACTTGGCGAGAAGAAGGAGAAGACGTATGGACACGTCAACATTTCTGGGGAGGAAGCCTTTTCTAGAGAAGAGAAGAAATTTTCTTCGGAAGCTGAAAAGTCAAGTATGGGAAGCTGAGCATCTTTTATGAAGAAGGTTTCAAATAAATTTAATTTTATAAATAAACGAAACACTGTAGCTGGTCCGTCCTATGCAGAACTAGTCAAATGGGGAACTCGGTCAAACCAGGGGAGGGGCCGATTTAGAGCAGGTTTGGAACACTATACGACCCGCTCTGACCCAACCGGACTAATACTGGGTCGGTCTGGGTCAAACCGCAAGAAGACTATTGGTGTTACTTGCAGCTCATGTGACTCTTTAAGTGGTCACGTGAGTCGGATATCAAAGGTGGAGTTGGTAAACCTTAGTAAGGGTCTATCTTCTTCCCCACAGGTGTCGAAACCAGCTGCAAGTGTACAGTTTGATGGCGGACAGAACTCATTGAGGCAGAACATGCGATGGCTTCGAATTGTTAAACCTAGAGAAGGCGACCAAGAGAAGAGGGGAGAAGACAAACCAAATCCCAGATACTCCAGGAATAGTAGATAGGAATTTGAAGGAGAAGATGACGGCTGGGTAAGCTGTGATCTATCAGAGGATGACATAGAGATGGATTGGGAAGCAGGAATCCAGACTGATGACTGTAAAGAACAGCTGGAAGACACATTTAGCACAGCTATTCTTTTCGTTGAGAAGGCAGAAGATGTTACCGAAGTGCTGAAACCATCTACAGACAGTCGGATGATTAACGAAGCCGAGTGCTACCTGGATGCAAGGTAGGAAAGTTGAACCTCAGGTGAGAAGGATTCAAGCCAGAATATGAATGAGGGGCAAGGAACTAGCCGGAAGACAGCGGTTAATCACCAGATCTCAAACATGGATACATCAGGTGGGGATGAACGACAGAGCCTCGGAAGTACTGACAAGGGTTAATTAAGTCTAGGTTGTGGCCTGCAAAGTCATCCTCTGGTGCTGACTGGTCAAACCCAATCGATTGTTGATTGTCCAATCCTTCCAGACCCAGGTATGGCTGTGTTTTCAGATTTGGTTACTAACGCCCGCTCTTCTCTTGATGTTTGTCTCCCAGATTCCAGTCCTGCTTCCTTGCTGAATACCCTTGGATTATAAGCCGATAGAGGTGGTGTTGGTGGGGAGATACAGGAGGGGGATGAGAGGGAGCTGAGGGAGTGGAACTTAATAATAAAAGAGCTGGATAATTTGACTAGGGTGGAAATGGAGCAGGAAGAGGTGATAGAGAGGAAGAATAGTGAATCCAGAATAGTTGAAGGGTGGAGCAGGAGAAGGAAAGCAAGAGGCACAGAGAGGATGTAAATATACAGACTAAGAAGGGAGATGAAGAAGAGGACTCTCTAGCTGAATTTGTTGAAAAGCTAGGGTGCAAGGTGAAAAATCTGAATGAGCTGAAAAGGTATTTGAAGATTAAAAATGAAGCTGGGAAAAGGAGGAAAAGAAGGCTAAGTGAAGTTGAGAGGCTGAAATTGAATGTGGAGGGGGATAAAGAATTTAGTGAGAGGAAGGGTAGGGGAAGAAAAGGAGGCTCTTAGGAAAGAAGGCTTAGGGAGGGGCAGACTATATTGGAGAAATGAAGATTGTAAGTTGGAATTTGAGAGGCTTGGGGAATGTAAGAAAGAGAGCTTTAATAAAGGAGGTCCTAAGGAAAGAGAACCCAGATATTTTTTTAATCCAGGAATCTAAACTCATGACTTTTGATAAAAAGTGGGCTAGAAGTGTGTGGAGAGCAAATGGATTGAGTTGGGTAATGAGTCCATCTTGGGGCTCATCTGGAGGGATAGTCACTTTGTGGAGGGATGTAGTGTTGGAGGGAGTGGAAGAATTAATTGGAAGATTCTCGGTTTCTATCAAATTGAAGCCAGTGACAGATGGGTTTGATTGGGTCTTAACTAATGTCTATGGCCCTACTGGCTACAAGCAAAGGAATGATTTGTGGGATGAGTTGGAAGACATTA